ATTATGAGAAAAATAAAGATAACGAGCACTTTTCCCACTTGTTGTCCGATAGGAGCTGCACGAAAATGCTGAACTAGATGGTATCGACTTTCATACAAGTGTTGGGTGACTGTCATCAGGATGTGTTATGAGATGTTTGGACAATTTCTATAACGAGAGAAACTTTGTTAATAATGCCCTTTGCTAGAAATTTTTCTAATTTGTCATCATAAATAAATAAATAGCAGAAAATATCGTTAATTGAAATAACAAATCACATCCTATGTATAATATTTTGAATAACATTTTTTAGGGTTGATTTTTCATTAAATATATTTTACTTTAAAGGATTTTTTTATGTGTTTGTAAGATTTGCTATATTTTAAGCAAAACAAGTTGAATGAATAAAAATAAAAAATAATTAATTAAAATAATTTTTATAGTAGTTATAATTTTGTAGCTAGAAATAAATTCTTATTAATTTCAAGTTAGGTAATTTTACAACTTAAAATATTATTAAAAATGCTGTCATTGGTATCTCTTGCTGATTATTATTTTTTTGCCTTTCATAAAAGAGAAGAATTTAGATATATAACTAATAAAAATAAATAATTTTATGTGAAAAATAAAAATGAAAAAAAAAATGTATATGATAATTGAGACAACTTGGACACATGTTAATTTATGTAGGGGTCAATGAATGAGGAAAAAATTAATTTTTAAATGAAAATGAAATAATAATTGAATTTTTGAAGAATAAAAGATAATTAAAAAATTGTTCTTCTAAAGTATTACATTCAATTTTGAATATTCGGATCTATTTAATTATTTTTAATGACAAATTTATAATTTTTTTAGTGAAAGATTTTATTTTTTATTTTTTTTATCATATCATAAAAATACAATATGTGAAGTATAAATTTATAATGCAGGGTCTTAAAATATAAATACACTCTAAATAGAGGATGTATTCTGTATATTTTCCTAAAGATTAGATATAATCTTGAAAGAAAATATAAACTTCATTTCAAGCAAGAGACGCATTATCAAGTACCAACTCCTAATTAATTCAACAAGGGTCTTAAAATATAAATACACTCTAAATAGAGGATGTATTCTGTATATTTTCCTAAAGATTAGATATAATCTTGAAAGAAAATATAAACTTCATTTCAAGCAATAGACGCATTATCAACTCCTAATTAATTCAACTAAAATAATTGATAAAAATTTAAGTTATAGTCAATAATTAATTTAACCATATTTTCATAAGATTCACAATTTTTTAATCACAAATTTTATTTATTTTTATAAAAATTTACTAAAATTCATTTTTTCTGTAAACCAAACGAGGACGGAGACTCAATAAATATCAAGAACAGAAGAAACTTTCCTAATCAATCTCAGTAGTAGCTAGCAGAGCTCCCTTAATCATCGTTCATTGTAACTATTATATTATTCTTTTTTGAATAACACTATTTGTAGACAGGGTGTACATAATTTTTTTTACAATAAGGTATCTATACACTCACATGGGATGGGATCCGTTCGAATATATTTACTTGAATAAAATATTCGGGCGAACCCCACCCTCTGTGAGTGTGGGACACTTTGATGTATAAAAAATAATGTACACCAAGTAAAGCCCTTCTTTTCCATAGTACTCCTAACTACAAAAACTTGAATTGGTTGGAGGCTTGGACTGTATGAATCACTATTTGTACATAATTTTTTTGTATGTTAAGGGATCCATACACTCACATGAGATGAGGTTTGCTCGAATATGTTCGCTCGAATAAAACATTCGAGCGAACCCCACCCCAATGTGAGTGTAGAATATTTTGATGTGCAAAAAATCATGTACACCAAGCAAAGTCCTTCCTTTTCCATATTACTCCTAACTTCAAAAACTTGAATTAGTTTGAGTGTATGAACCTCACCCCTCGCACCCCCGCCCCTTCCCATCTATCTATCAATCTATACATTTAAATGATACGTCGCAATCTAATTAAGCCTTACTGTGTGGTCACAATCACACGTTAAATTCTCTCTATTTTCTTTACATAAATGGCCCAATCATATCCAGAGTAATAGCCTAAGCAACAGTGAGCATATACTAAAAGTAAAAAGAGCATTAAAATCATCTGTGTATCAAGACAAAATTGTAGGAAATGGCCACGAGAATGAAAGATTATCAAATCACTCTTGCTCATTGAAAGAATTCAAAGAAGATAGGTGGGCCTATCCTATTTAAGTTTGGACACACTCTCATAGACTATAAACTTCAATGGGATCCTTGAGTTATAGTTGGTCAATACCAGACAATATTGAAAGGAAAAGAAGTTAATATTTTATAGGATGGACTGTACAAGATTGACACTATTTGATAAGTCTTGTTTAGTATACTAAGAAGTGCCAATACATTTTGCAAACCAAATATGTATTAAGTTGTAAAGTATAATTATTGATACCACTAGAAGTCGTCAATAGGATTTATGGAATCATCATAAAAAGATATATTAGAGAGAATAGGGTGTGCAGTTTCTCTCTTATAATTTTCTTTTTATTATAGTGAATTATTGCAACGATAGAAGAGGACGTAGTCTTATATTGAGGTGAACTTTCATAAATCTTGAGTGATCATTTCGTACTACTTTATTGATGTTCGTGGATAGAATTAGGGTTCATAATTCTTAACAAGGTGCACTAAAATTTTGTTCACTTGTAAAGTTCTACGTATCAAGCACGATGCATATGGCTTGCAGTCGTTATTTAATAGCTCCCCTTTTTCCAGTTTTCACTATAAACGGACAAAAGACCTTAGATTTCTTTCCTAGAAATTATGCTGGGAGATTTTAAGAGCAAACATGTTTAGCACCCGGAAAGCGTATAGTGACAACCAGCTACCATCTTACCCCTATAACTGGTTACCTCTTTTGCTCATTTGCACAGTGAAGAACCCGCACAATTGACATTTAGGGATACACTTATCAATTTTGGTACAAGTACGGACACTTTTGTTGACAATTTGATTGACGATGTGCGAGGTGGCCAATATTTTTATCATTGATTTTAACAATACTTAAAACAATGAAGGATACAATTTTTTATACGACATTGAGTATCAACGAGGATGTCAATAATCAATATACAATTAGCATAATTCTACATTTGATAGGATGTACTTGGCACTATCAATATATATTTCATATTTTTATCCATTTTAGTCACACATAACGTAAAATACGATGCGTACAAACACAAAATTTTAATTTGTGACGCTCTACGAGGGAAGTAACTCCTCATCCAGTAGCAATTTGACCGCATTCCATTCCGTGTTTTTTATAACTTGAAACTTTGTGTATATTTAGCCCTTGTTTGAGCCTCATTCTTGTTAAAAAAAAATGTATTTTTGAATAATGTATTTATGAAAAATGTGTGGTTGAAAAATAAAGAAAAATTATTAATTTAAGTATAATATTACTTTATTGAAAAATATATATTTGAAATGAGATCAAATCACTGTTAAATAATTTATTTTAATAAAAAAATCGGGCTCAAACAAGGGTTAGTTGACTTGGTTCTTTAATAACATAATCGTTTTTTTTTTTTTTTTTTTTTTTTAATTTTTTGTATTTTTTTTTTTTTTTTTTTTTTTTTTTTTTTCCAATGTTTGGTATTACTTAATAAAAATTGTGCTAGGAGTGGATAATATCTAGGTGAAAGAAGTCAGGAATCTGGAACTGGGAAGGACATAGGAGGAAATGATAGGTTTGACTTGGAACCAAATAGGGCACAGAGAAATGTGCAACCTACACCAGAATCAGAGGATTATGATATGTGTGATAAATCAATCCAAGAGAGAATGGCAGTCAAACATAATTTGTCATTTATACCACTATAGTAAAAAATTGAATTCTTGGCTGGCCAATTTCTTGATGGCTACTTGACAAAATTTTAGTACCCTACTTGGACTCCCATTGAGGGCCATACGGATGTGTTTTCCTTTCATTATTTATGGTAAGCATTCCATAAAAAACTAATGTCATGGTGAGAGACTCCAAAGGTTTTAAATCCATGTACGAATAATTGTGTGTTTGGATACTTTACTAGAGTTGTAAAATAGATCCACTTATCTTTGAAAGGACAAGATATGACTCGGTCAATCCTTAGCAACCGAGTCGAAAATAACACATTTAATGCCCATACGACCATGCCCGGCCAAACAAGATTTGACCTTTTTATAACACTTTTTTTTTTTTAAGTTGGTGCGTGAATTCTCAAATATATATTTCTATGTTTCATTCATGCTTTGCACTGGAGATTTAGAAGTTCATGTTCACTTAAATTTGATCGAAGTTTTGAAAGATTAAGGATTTAAAATTTTAAGATTTTCAAGAACCACAATGATATTCTCAAGCTTGTGTTCAAGGTCGAGTGTAATCTACAAAAACTAGTGGGGTACGCCCCAAAAGAATATTGGTAGATTTAATGCATAAATTATATTATAAATTGAGTTTCAACTTAGCAAAAATACTACCGTAACAAAAGAAATATAGAAAGTAGAAGAAACGAGAAAAGACAAATGTAATCAGAACAAGAGTCTGAATCTTTGTTTTTAAGACAAATTTGTTCGACACTATTGCCCACAATTGGATAACAATCATCTCCAAAAATACAAAGATGTCTTTTACGATAATAACATTTCAAACCACAATCAACGAACCAGAAAAGTGTTTTGTCATCTCTTACGGAAACATACACTAATGCAAAAAGCTTTTTAAGCATGCAGGGCTTAATGAATATACAAGAGAAGACGTACATGGAATGCGAATTTGGAAGGAGTTCGGAACTATATAACAAACCAAAAGTTGCCCCTGAACCCGAGTTCTAATTTGAGAAGTGCCACATGTCGCAATTTCATTACTTTACGCTTTTCAATAGGAGAAAGACAATTGAATTAATTAATTATGTCCAAAAATAGTATTAGGCCAAGCCCAATTCTAGATCCAACAACCCACATGGTTCAGGCCCAGCCTGGTTGGTGAGCATCTGCTTGTGGACTAACCCAATAGTAGTAGAATCGAGATACATCGCCCTCAAGGACTTGTACCCCTTGAAGTCCAAACCTTTCATCTTCTAATGTGAGACAAAAGTTACCTTCTAAATAATAATACTATCGAGTACAAATGGTATTCAACACCAGTTCAAATGTCAACATATCATGTCTTATTATATAGGCCATAATTCATTGTATTCAATCGAATCTGTAATTTAATTTTACTAGTGCCATCATCAATTTTGGTATTGACAACCAGTAATGCTAAATAGCATTATTCATCCAAATCCAACATTTCAAGTATCGTCTAATATCAAGGTATCAGCTTTTGACTTTAATTTCTCATTCATCGAAAAATGATTTTGTGAATTTAAATATACTACGATCATCTACTAATGAAGAGCATTTTATACATAATGCCAATAAAATGGAATAACGTGACCCACAAAAATATTTGGACAAAAATTGGTCAAACCAATTTAAAAAACTCGTTTCCAGCAAGGCCCTCCAACACTTTGTGCAATCCAAGAGCAGAAGAGGTTAACAAGCTCGGTCTATGTTTCGCTTCCAGAAATACAACCAATAATCACAATATAGTGGGGGTGTGGTAACACTCTGTATTCTAGCCCACAACAAGCCCTTTGGACAACAACATAGGGCCTGACTTTCGGTATTACCAAACTTCCATATGGGATCATATAATCAGTAGTGCCAAATTTTCTGATGCAGACGATCCTCAAAGAGGCAACTGCAGAACATACTTTTAATACTACTTAGATCTTGTTTTTACTTATTCATTCTGGAATTTTCACAGTTGTCAAGACTATGGAAGAACAAAGAAAGGATTTTAGAAGAAAATTGTTAAGAGGAGTAAACTTTTTATTAAGAAGAGTTGAGCTCGAGATGATCCTCAATGAAAGATAAGAGCTCCTTATATAGAGGAGAAGCCTCATT